AAGCCTCATCGAACGATTAGTTTCAGAAAAAAAAGAAAGCTCTAAGGATTCCCCGTTTTCCTATGCAATACACTCTCTTTCCAATAGTCCAGGCTGTTCCAGCAGAAGCAACTTTCTCCAGTAGTGGTCCTGCACACACTGAGGATGCAGTGGCCCCCAGGGGCCTTATATGGATCCCTCTCGACCAGGACTCTATTGTGTGAGTGACATCCCCTTCGACACGTCAAGAAACGTCAGATTGGCCGGAGTGAGGGATGTAGTATTGTCCCCGAGCATTTAACTCCTCCCAGAGATCCTTGTGGGCATAATGGCAGCTTTATAAACCGCCTTACATAAATCTTAAATCATCTTTTCCCACTCCAGATGTCTTGATCATGATGGCCTGTAGAAATAAGAGGAACTGGGGCTGGGATTACATCTTTGGGGCCGAAACAGATCAAGATCTCTGTACGCGCAAATTCCATTAAAAATGGTAGTTTACCAAATTGTTCTGTGGTAACACTCGCGCCGAAATAGTTATTTGTAGCCTATTCTACATTATTTTCAGAAAAAAATCTATAAAAAAATAAAATAAAAATACAAAAATGACAGTTTTTTAAAAGCTTTTTCTGACACTGTTTGAAGGAAATTCCATGTTAAAGTGAAATTACGGTCATATCACTCCCTTAGAGGTGACAGTAAGCTCTGTTTGGAAATAAGAAGGATTTACAGGACAAAATAAATAAATAAACTAAAAGAACAATACAATAAAATAAATTAATGGCATTTATGGCTATGTGAAAGTGGCCGACATATAGGCTAGGCCTATTTCTATATTTGTTTAATTTAATTGGCTATACAAAACGTTTAACTTAACTCTTTATACTTGAAATTATTTTGCACAGTTTAGGTTGTAGATTTTTATACTAATTCGTTGCAACTAAATATGGAAATATTACATCAAAGATAAACAATTAAATTAAATGAACAAATGTTACAGACATTTAAGCAAAATATGTTAACTTAACACTCCGCGACTTACAAGGGCTAGCCTACCATTGTAATTAAATGTTGTTACTAAAAATTATAGTCTTCTAGGCAAGGCTATATAAAAATAAATAAATAAAATAAAGTAAAAACAAAGTTTAGTTTATACATATAATTTCTAGGAGAATTTTTTTTTTTTATTTAGTCTTTATGAAATGAAATCAATTAAACGTAGGCTATAACGAACGGAATAAGTCTATAGATATAACTGGTACATTGGCATCGGTAGAATGAAATGATCATACGTTTTGGTGGTCAAAGATTTAAGCAGCCTAACTAACTAATAACAACTCTAAAACGATAAAACACCACCAAGGACTACTTTAGGCCTACACTTCGGCCGTGGAGTGCTTTCGGCCATTAGGGGATTTTGTTACATGAACAAAACGCGATCTCAAGCAGCAAGCGCGCGACCCCTGAGAGCTAGCCTACAATTGAGGTGCAGTTAATTGGAAGAATTTGCAAACTTCCTCAATATTGAATGGATACGTGTAATTAGCTCCGAACAAAGATTGACAGCAGTCTGATAATCCGCAGGACACACGCTGGTTTGAGGGGATTACACACGTTCCCCACTCTATCCAAAACAGCACAAATCCTTTCAACTGCTTGGCTTTTCCCTAATTACAACAGATAATGTTGGTATTTCCAGATTTATTCAAAGATACACACACGCACACACACACATAGGCCTATACTCGAAAAACAAAAACACACCGTAAAATACAAGAATATTCAACCCGATCTCATGAAAGTGCATATAAATAGTAGGCTACGCCAAATAAAAACGAAAACTCGTGGTATTGATACGCAAAAATGGACTTTGGCGTGGATATGATACGAACATGTTTGGCATGCATATAATCCGCAGTTTTCGCGTGCATATGATATGAAATTTGTTGGCGTGGATATGATATGCAGTTTTCGCGTACATATGATACGCATCTACCCCACAACCCTAATCCTACCCATCGCGTAGCATATACACGCCAAAGCTTACATAAATCTTAAATCATCTTTTCCCACTCCAGATGTCTTGACCATGATGGCCTGTAGAAATAAGAGGAACTGGGGCCGGGATTACATCTTTGGGGCCGAAACAGATCAAGATCTCTGTACGCGCAAATTCCATTAAAAATGGTAGTTTACCAAATTGTTCTGTGGTAACACTCGCGCCGAAATAGTTATTTGTAGCCTATTCTACATTATTTTCAGAAAAAAATCTATAAAAAAATAAAATAAAAATACAAAAATGACAGTTTTTTAAAAGCTTTTTCTGACGCTGTTTGAAGGAAATTCCATGTTAAAGTGAAATTACGGTCATATCACTCCCTTAGAGGTGACAGTAAGCTCTGTTTGGAAATAAGAAGGATTTACAGGACAAAATAAATAAATAAACTAAAAGAACAATACAATAAAATAAATTAATGGCATTTATGGCTATGTGAAAGTGGCCGACATATAGGCTAGGCCTATTTCTATATTTGTTTAATTTAATTGGCTATACAAAACGTTTAACTTAACTCTTTATACTTGAAATTATTTTGCACAGTTTAGGTTGTAGATTTTTATACTAATTCGTTGCAACTAAATATGGAAATATTACATCAAAGATAAACAATTAAATTAAATGAACAAATGTTACAGACATTTAAGCAAAATGTGTTAACTTAACACTCCGCGACTTACAAGGGCTAGCCTACCATTGTAATTAAATGTTGTTACTAAAAATTATAGTCTTCTAGGCAAGGCTATATAAAAATAAATAAATAAAATAAAGTAAAAACAAAGTTTAGTTTATACATATAATTTCTAGGAGAATTTTTTTTTTTTATTTAGTCTTTATGAAATGAAATCAATTAAACGTAGGCTATAACGAACGGAATAAGTCTATAGATATAACTGGTACATTGGCATCGGTAGAATGAAATGATCATACGTTTTGGTGGTCAAAGATTTAAGCAGCCTAACTAACTAATAACAACTCTAAAACGATAAAACACCACCAAGGACTACTTTAGGCCTACACTTCGGCCGTGGAGTGCTTTCGGCCATTAGGGGATTTTGTTACATGAACAAAACGCGATCTCAAGCAGCAAGCGCGCGACCCCTGAGAGCTAGCCTACAATTGAGGTGCAGTTAATTGGAAGAATTTGCAAACTTCCTCAATATTGAATGGATACGTGTAATTAGCTCCGAACAAAGATTGACAGCAGTCTGATAATCCGCAGGACACACGCTGGTTTGAGGGGATTACACACGTTCCCCACTCTATCCAAAACAGCACAAATCCTTTCAACTGCTTGGCTTTTCCCTAATTACAACAGATAATGTTGGTATTTCCAGATTTATTCAAAGATACACACACGCACACACACACATAGGCCTATACTCGAAAAACAAAAACACACCGTAAAATACAAGAATATTCAACCCGATCTCATGAAAGTGCATATAAATAGTAGGCTACGCCAAATAAAAACGAAAACTCGTGGTATTGATACGCAAAAATGGACTTTGGCGTGGATATGATACGAACATGTTTGGCATGCATATAATCCGCAGTTTTCGCGTGCATATGATATGAAATTTGTTGGCGTGGATATGATATGCAGTTTTCGCGTACATATGATACGCATCTACCCCACAACCCTAATCCTACCCATCGCGTAGCATATACACGCCAAAGTCCATTTTTGCGTATCAATACCACGAGTTTTCGTTTTTATTTGGCGTACTATTTATACGCACTTTCATGCGTACTATTTATACGCATTTTCATGAGACCGGCCTCCAACCCATGTGTTGATTAACGCTTTAAAAATTACTATTTGACTATTTTATTTATTTATTCATTAATTCAATGATTATATTAATATATTATTGTAATTTTTTTACAGTTTTTTAAATTACCTTTTTAGTTTCTGTTTTTTTACTGCATTGGCATAACAAAAAAAATACTATTTAAATTAAACAAACAAACAAACAAATAAAAATTAAGTAATACGAGGTCACATAATGTGAAGACACAAGATTGCAATGCTACTATGTCTAGTGAAATCATTTAACTTGTCTCAGACCAGATGATCCTATTAGCAGGTAATCTTTAAAAGTCCAAAGCATTTCTTTTTCAATAAACGTAGATTAATTTAATATTTTTCTCCCGTCTAATCATGTGGTAACAACTTGTCATTTGAGTAGCTAAATAAACTGTTTTTCAGACCCTTTTTTTTTTTTTTTACCGGATTTAGTTGTTTTCTTGTAAAGATAAAGCTACATGGTATAAAACGTTGACACAATAAGCTGTTATAGCCAAGAAAATCTCACAGACATGTACTTATTTTGATCATAAATGCATGGCAGACTCAGTTTTTCATGTATTGTTTTATTCACGTGTTTAATCTATTTACAATCCGATTCATGCCTATCCACCTCAAATAAAAACTTAATACATGTGACTAAAGAATCCTAACGAGTATTACAATATCATATGTGTCAATGCTAGACAAAAAAAAAAAAATGAACAAGAAATAACAGCATAACATTCGTCTCATCCCTTGTGCAAAAAAGCAGGAGGGGGAAGGGGGAATAGCTTCTCCACCTCAAGTTCAAGCTAGATGTTTGTTAGATATATTTACAGGTAATATTGCAAAAAAAAAAGAAAAAAAAAAGGAGGGAATAGACTACAACATCACATATAGGCTAGGCCTATTTCTATATTTGTTTAATTTAATTGGCTATACAAAACGTTTAACTTAACTCTTTATACTTGAAATTATTTTGCACAGTTTAGGTTGTAGATTTTTATACTAATTCGTTGCAACTAAATATGGAAATATTACATCAAAGATAAACAATTAAATTAAATGAACAAATGTTACAGACATTTAAGCAAAATGTGTTAACTTAACACTCCGCGATTTACAAGGGCTAGCCTACCATTGTAATTAAATGTTGTTACTAAAAATTATAGTCTTCTAGGCAAGGCTATATAAAAATAAATAAATAAAATAAAGTAAAAACAAAGTTTAGTTTATACATATAATTTCTAGGAGAATTTTTTTTTTTTATTTAGTCTGTTTATGAAATGAAATCAATTAAACGTAGGCTATAACGAACGGAATAAGTCTATAGATATAACTGGTACATTGGCATCGGTAGAATGAAATGATCATACGTTTTGGTGGTCAAAGATTTAAGCAGCCTAACTAACTAATAACAACTCTAAAACGATAAAACACCACCAAGGACTACTTTAGGCCTACACTTCGGCCGTGGAGTGCTTTCGGCCATTAGGGGATTTTGTTACATGAACAAAACGCGATCTCAAGCAGCAAGCGCGCGACCCCTGAGAGCTAGCCTACAATTGAGGTGCAGTTAATTGGAAGAATTTGCAAACTTCCTCAATATTGAATGGATACGTGTAATTAGCTCCGAACAAAGATTGACAGCAGTCTGATAATCCGCAGGACACACGCTGGTTTGAGGGGATTACACACGTTCCCCACTCTATCCAAAACAGCACAAATCCTTTCAACTGCTTGGCTTTTCCCTAATTACAACAGATAATGTTGGTATTTCCAGATTTATTCAAAGATACACACACGCACACACACACATAGGCCTATACTCGAAAAACAAAAACACACCGTAAAATACAAGAATATTCAACCCGATCTCATGAAAGTGCATATAAATAGTAGGCTACGCCAAATAAAAACGAAAACTCGTGGTATTGATACGCAAAAATGGACTTTGGCGTGGATATGATAAAAAATGAACAAGAAATAACAGCATAACATTCGTCTCATCCCTTGTGCAAAAAAGCAGGAGGGGGATTTAAACATAGCTTCTCCACCTCAAGTTCAAGCTAGATGTTTGTTAGATATATTTACAGGTAATATTGCAAAAAAAAAAGAAAAAAAAAAGGAGGGAATAGACTACAACATCATTTATTCAAACAACACATACAAAATAAAAAGTCCTAGCGAAATTGGGAGCCAAGCAAGAGAAGCTGAAAAGCTGATCTAGAGCCAGAATCTTGCAGCTTTTGGGAACGTAGAGCTTGAGTGACTTCATCTGACATGCTTTCAAATTAAATTTAATTTTCAAAACTGTATTTCAAAAACCCAACCTGGTTTTTGTATCAAAACTGCATCAAGAACCTGACCTTGTTTGTAGAAATGTGTGAATTTGCTAAACCGCTACATGACAGAACACTTCTCCTCAGCCTTGGACTTCATCTCTGTCAGTGTAGCACTGGCTTTCTCTTTTATCTGATCCATGTCCATGTTCTGTAAGTTCTGCATCTGCCCCAGGATGGAGTCCTTCTCCTCCTCCTCCGTGGCATCCTCGTCCACCATCTTCAGCAGCTCCTCGGGAACGTCCACGTCATCTCCTGCCATCTGGATCATGTTCTCGTCCTGCTCACTCTGAGGGGTAAATACACACCATGTTATTTTCAGAGTTCCACTAATGTTCATAAATGCTAAAACAATGTGGATCACTGGTGCATTTAATTACTTCCGACTAGCCTTACACTGGCTCAGCCAATGAATTTGGGGTGTTATACACAACTCTAATTTAAATATCCAACATTTTAGACTCTACTTTTGCATTAATGCATTAAGGATTTAAGAGAGAGAATGAAGCTGTACAAAGGCGATCAGATGTTGAGGAAAGCCAATATGGATGGAGGCTTGCACAGACCTCAGTTCACTCTCTTATTATTTATCAGAAGTGCCAAGAACTCAAAGCCAAAAAAGCATCCGTATGGGAGAAACTGCATTTGTGTATATGTGTGTGTGGGAGCCACACGCAAATTAGGAATGCTAGAGATGGTTTCAACTAGTGCTGTCAAACAATTAAATGCGATTAATCGCATACAAAATAAAAGTTTTTGTTTGCATAATATATTTGTGTGTTAATATAAATGCACACACATACAGTATATATATTTAGAAAATATTTACATGCATTTACATGTCTATATTCACATTCATATAATTTATATTATAAATAAATATATTTAATATATAAACAGCATTTTTTCCTGAAATATATACATGCATGTGTGTGTATTTATGTATACATAATAAATATACACAGTACACATACATATTATGTAAACAAAAACTTTTATTTTGGATGCGATTAATCACGATTAATCATTTGACAGCACTATAGTTTCAACTACTTATTTTAATATTAGAATGATTTCTGAAAAATCATGTGACACTAAAGACTGGAATAATAGTTTCATCGGCTTAAATTAAAATAGAAAAAAAATAATTTTAAATTGTGAAATATTGTAACGTATTATTACAATTACAGTTTTTGGTTGCTATTTGTATTTTTGATAAATATGCAGGCTTTGTGAGTATAGGAGACTTTTAAAAGAAATATAAAAAATGTACTGGCCCCAAACTTGAATGGTAATGTATGTATGTATGTACCTTAATCCTGATGAAAAAAAAGTTAATGCCAATTGCCAACTGAAGAACATTTCCTTATTAAAATAGATTCTTTTTGGATTTGAGAAGTGGCAAAATGGCTCTTACTTTAGGAAGTCTGTATTTGTCTCGTAGACAAACCCTCAGAGTCGCCCTCTCTGCTGTCTTGTGCAAGAAGTCTGCATCTCTTTCCATTCTGTGGATTAGAAATGTTTTGACAACACGTTATCACCTGCTAAGACAAATACAGCATCTTAATCTATCTTTTTTTTTAAATTCTATGTAATACAGTGATACAAATCTGTGATTTTCATGTAAAAAAAACATACCACCGTACACATGTATAATTCAGTGGAAAACATGCATTGCACAACAGTTTGTTTTAAAATCCATGCGTGACAAAACACCGTAGCAGTAAAATAAAATAACCTCCGGGGTTTAGCACTACAGCTTAATTCCAGATAAAGAGCTTCAGGATGCTTACAGCATTGTTCAGGCAGTGCTATGGCTATACTTGAAGCAAAGCTCGTAGCTAGTTTACCAGCAACAACTAAATAATAAAATCCTGTGGATGTTTGATCTGAAGCAACACAAAGATCTTCAGATGTTTAGATGTAATCTCACAGCAGACATGTATGTTTACTATATGAATAATCTGTTTAGGCATATTTCTACTTAAGTGAGCCTGAGGATGTGAGTTGTTATCTCATCTCTTTTGAACATGAATAATATCAAATCTTGGGATTAGCATGCTTCAGATGCTTTTTCCTGTACGATTACTGATTGGAAAATCACGTTTCAAAAGCTATATGTGTGAAATTGATTTTTTTTTTCTTATTCAAAATGTATTTTAGTTTGCCTATACTTTTTAGGATATATGCAAAAGATTTTATGGCTGCCAACTGTGGCCTGGAAATAAATAACTACATTTCATATTTTATATCTGCAGAGGTCTGGCATTCTCCAATACTTTCATTATTCATTCTCTACCATGATTGCTTCTAAAAATAGCATTATCCAGATCAACAAGGCCAGGGTAGCCCACGCTAAGCTCTGCTTTTAGGACTGATTAGCAGCTAGCACCTGACGCTTACTTTCTGATACCAACATGGAGTCTGTTCATCTTTAATCACTGACATTATCATCTTTTTTACACCCAAGATAGTTAAGGTGCAGGTGTTTGCACAAATACATCATCATGGAGAATATCAGATGCCTTTAAGATTAAGTCTGCATCATGCTCTTGCTTTGATAATCTCTGAAGCTCCCTTTGCAGTTTTTATTTGAATTACAGTGTTTCTGTGATGTATCATCAGCTTTAAGGGTGGAAGATGCAAAAGGATCCAGAACCGAAATGCTATCAGTTGAGATTAATAATGCAAAAAAAAAAAAGAAGAGATAAATACAGAATTTAATATGCATGACAGCATATGCAAGATTCTTCATTTACTTTGTCAAGGTCATTAAATGCTAAGTATGTACTGTAAGCACAAATAGGGCCCGAGGGGCCCAAATTTTACTTACTTCTCCTCCACTAGCTGTTTCTGGTACTCCTCATATTCTTCTCTAGTCATACCGGCGGCCGCTGCAGGGTCCTTGGGGGTTTCTTCCTCAGCCTTTTCCTCTCCTCCTCCAAATCCCATTCCCTTCAGTGGGTTCCCCACCATACTTTTGATTAGAAATGCCATTTGTTTTACCCCGCTGGAGTCTCAAGCTTGACGTCAAGTTGCGATTTCCTGAAATCTTTCGGTGAAAGTCCAGAGAAGTCCCTCAGATGGTCTAATTGGAGCTAGGCTAACCGACCTGTCTGTCTGTTATCAAGGACACACTGCTGACTAGTAATGGCGGCCAGAAAAAAGAAAAAAACGTTTATGCTGCAGCCATAATCTGGATTAAGATGCGGCCATCTACACTGAGAGGCAGATGGCTGTGGCTTTCTCTTTTCCACACAATAAAAGTAAACGAACTCAATGCATTTATCAATCAAAAGCTCTAACTATAGGAAAAACAGTAGGAGAAAACTTGAAAACTATGAAATCTGTGTTTTGCAGATTAGGGCAGTCTCCATTGTTGACGTCATGTTCGTTGCATCCACCCACTGACTGCTAATCACATTACTTAATGAGGGACTGACCAATGCATCGCAACCAACCGGTTACCGATTTTCCATTTATACCCCTTGTGAGCCCAGAGAAGCGAAGATAAACCTGTTTATGTGTCCCACAGATGAAGAACAGGAATTATGAATTCATACACTGTATTTACCTGCAAACAGGAGATGCTTCTGCAGTTCTTCAATTCTTGTCTGCTGAGAAAACTGTAGAAAAATATATAGTGGTTACTAAACATGAAATACAATAGGCCTACTGACTTATAAAAAAATATCACTTACCACGGATTTCTGGTGGTTTAAAACAGTTAGCTGGTCTCCCAGTGGGACCAAACTGGTGGTCTAGATGTTCTCCCCGCCTGGCAAAGATGGTGTTTGGCTGATTTAACTGGTCTGTGATCTTCCAGGCTGAATAGCAACTTAAACTTGTTAACTTTTAACAACTTAAACTTGACCAGCCTGTTAGCCAACTAAAATCAGCAAACCACCTTAGACTGTTTTTAAGCTGTGTTTACCACATCTTATTAGACAACTTTTGCACGGTTTATACAAGGAATAAGTTCAGGCCTTAAATTTGCCAATCAGCTTAGCATGTAGCATAACATTCACACATGGAGCAGCATTAACTGAAAGTAATTACTGCAAGGTCTACAGAAAGGTTTTCCATTTATAACCCTTGTGAGCTCAGGAAAGCACAGCTACAGGATTACAAACAACAGGTTGCGAAGATGATGATAAGGAGCTACGATTTCACACATTTATTTGCAAACATCCAGGATGTTCAGTAGTTTTCAGTAGTTGTCCACTGAGAAGGTTCAAAAGAGACAGATAATGGCTATTAAACGTGATGTAAAAAACTGCCTGAAAAAAAAATCCCTCTTGAACAAACTCACCATCCCTTAAGAAAATTAACCATGGTTTTACTATAGTAAAAGTGTAGGAACCATGTTTTTTGGCGTATTGATTGCCATTTGTATAACCACAGTTTTACTACAAATACCATGGTAAAACTACGGTTAGTGTAGCAAATCCATGCTTAATTTGTGGTTACCATGGTTTAACTATAGTAGCCATAGTTTTTTTGGTTTTATTTGTAGTGGAACCATGATTAATTTTCATAAAGGGATGGATTGCTGGTCTTAACTGGTTTAAAACAGATGGTCTTCTGAACTGAACAAACTCTTAATATCATTCTTTTAAAACTCTGACACAATGTTACAAATTATGATTGTCCTGTGGTAAAAACACCACGGTCCAAGGTGGTGTACCTGTTTTAAGTGTTTTTTTTTTTTTTTTACAACAGGACAATAATAACTTTTAAGTGTATGGTTTAAACAAGCAAGCTCAGCTATCAGCTAATTAATTCGCCATTTAGCATATTAGCATGTAGCATAACATTTACACATGAGCAGCAAATACAGCAAAAACACTCACTAAGCATCTTCGATCTTTTGAATTCCCATAATCGTTGTAGGTTAAATTAACTTAACGTAGGCTAATTACTGAAAGGTCTTGGTCCTTAGGTCAATTCATGTTGCAGTTCAACTGTTGTCCTATAAAAACAGTTGAAGTTTGCACTTTCATTTTCTGAGGTAAATATGTCCCTTTAAACTGACACAGAAGTTATGTTTTCCTGAGGTAAAAACATCTTAAAATAGCCGAAGGTGGTGCACAGCATATTGTTTTAAGCCATTTTTTATCACAGGACATTCATAATTTGTTAGCATTAGCATGGTTCAAACAAGGAATGGCTCAGTTATCAGCTAATGAATTTAACATTTAGCATATTAGCATGTAGCATAACATTCATACATGTCTTTGTACAATACACAATACAAACATACTAAGCATCTTCAATACTTCTAACTCCCATGACCCTTGTAAATAAACTCAATTACTGAAAAGTGTTGTTTTATTTTATTATGATTACTTATTCACATCTTAATAGTATAAGCTATTAATAAATAGGATAAACATCTTAAACAATCTAAGGTGGTGTACATACAAACTTGTTCTTACGAACTCTCATGACCTTTGTAAAAACTCAACGTAATTACAGAAAGGTCTCATTTATTTTATTATTCATGGTTCACAAGTCAATTTATGTTGCGATTACGGTCCTACAAAACAATTATCATTTGTGAGGTGATTATTTCCCTTTACAGCTCTGACACTGATTGTCTAATGGTAAAAATACCCTAAACCAGCTTAAGGTGCATGGTGTACCTACAAACTAGGGTTCCTACGAACTCCCATGATGGTTGTAAAAAAAAACAAAAAAAAAAAACAAAGCAATGTAATTACCAAAAGGTATTCACAGTTGACAAGTACCTCAGGCCAATTCATACTGTAGTTTGACTATTGTCCAACAAAATAACTATTATTGTAGGCGATTATCTCCTATTAAAAGCTCTGACAGTGTCAAAACTGAAGCTGACAATGCCTGTCCAAGGTTAAGACACTTACAGCAATAAGGACATAATTCCCCCAAAGTCCCACAACTGTTCAATAATGGGTCTATTGGAAACATAAATATGCTGAAAACTATTATTCCTGAAGAGAAGGTCATTTTAAGAGTGAATAGTTGTGGACAAAGTTCTTAAAATTAGAATTTACCTCATGTGACAATATGGTTGCCTTGAAAGGGTGCAACTACTAAAGTGTCCTTAAGTAACTAAGTAATTAAAATGTAGAGGAGGCCATTTGAAATGGTTCACAACTGCATCTCCTGTTAGGGCCAGTAAGCTCTTGCTGGATTGATCGCACAGCATGGTGGGATGGAGTGACAGATGTGCTAAACGTACACGACATGTCTCTGTGTAATCCCCTGAAAAGACAGAGGAGGGGGTGAGGGAGAGAGCGAGAGAGCGAGAGTAGGCAATCAAGCCAGAGCAGTGATTGCGAGTGAAGAGAAACAAAGGGAGGGAACGGCTGGTGGATTATCAGCTAAGAATCATCAGCATATCCCAGCGCAATACTCTAGTGTCACAAATGGACGCTAGTAACGAGGACACTGACGGCCTTTAGCATCCAAACAACCACTCAGATCATAACTTTGGTAACTTTGTGTATAATTAGGCCTAATTATTGTATTACATTTTAAAACCAAGGTACACTATAAAAGATGTAAACAAGGATTTGAGGATTAGTTATGTTGGTACTATAAACACTAAATTTGCTTTATTAAACATGTAGCAATTGGTATAATATCAGTGATTGCCTGCAGGCTGGTCCGGATGAATAGAATAGAATAGAATAGCGACAATTCCCTTAAAACATTTATCGCATCAAAACAAAATAAAATAAAAAAAAAATCTTCATTTTTAACATTTCCCTGGTCAGGATGCTCAAACAAACAATGCTCTGGTATTACCACAGAGAGAAAAATAAATAAATAAATAAAACAGCCACATTTCCCACCACAAAATATGTATCCCATCAACACAAAATAAAATAAAAAATTTTTTTTTCATTTTTAAAGGGGTCATATGATGCGGTTTCAAGTTTTCCTTTCTCTTTGGAGTGTTACAAGCTGATTGTGCATAGATAAGATCCCTGACTGTTCAAATGCGGAGTTTTGCGCATCGCGTGTGTGTGTGTGAGTGTGAGTGTGAGAGAGAGAGAGAGAGTGAGAGAGAGAGAGGGGGTCACATCACAGTGGAGTCAGCTGTCTTAACCGTGGCTTGTGTACTGCAAACACATACCAGCTTCATCACTGTGTCTGTCACGCGACTCTGTTCCCCTTTCGGGCTTGAACTGATGGTAAAACTAATGACATTATTTACTGTCTTTACATTTATTTTGAAAGATGAAGCTCGCGATTATGGTAAGGGGCATTACATTTCCGACGAGTGCTTGCGGTGTTCGGCCAATCACAATGCACTGGGTCAGTTGGCCAATCAGAGCAGACTGCGCTTGTCGGAAGGAGGGACTTTGTAGAAAACGACGTGTTTGAGAGAGGCGGGGCATAGAAGACCTACAATAATGTACAGTATTTGAAAAATAATGTGTTTTTTGAACATTAAAGCATGTCAACATATTCTGTTACACCAAATACACAAAATAACGATGTTTAAAAAAGCATCATATGACCCCTTTAACATTTCCCTGGTCAGGATGCTCAAACAAACAATGCTCTGGTATTACCACAGAGAGAACAAAAATAAAAATAAATAAATAAAACAGCCACATTTCCCACCACAAAATATGTATCCCATCAACACAAAATAAAATAAAAAAGCTACATTTCTAACATTTCCAAAACAGGCTGGTCAGGATACTCAAACAAACAATGCTTTGATAATACCACAGGGAAAAAAAATACAATAAAAAAACAAAACAATTTCCTCATAAAACATTTTCTCTAACAAAACATTTATCCCAACAAAAAACAAAACAAAAAAAGCTACATTTCTAACATTTCCTATAACAAAATATTTTTGCAATCATAAACTGACCAGCCTGTATTTTTCTAAATATTCTGGATTGCAATTGTTTTTGTTCTTCCACTACAGATCAACAAAGAGAAATAAAATAAAATAAAATAAAATAAAACAGCTACATTTCCTAAAAGAATATACTTATCCCATCAAAACAAACTAAAAATAGCTACATTTAACTTTTCTCATAACAAAACACTTATCCCACCATAAACTGATCACTCTGTATTTTTCAGAACATCTGGATTGCAATTATTTCTGTTCTTTTGCTACAGAGAACCACTGATAAATAAAATAAAATAGTATAAAAAGCTACATTTCTACAATTTCTCAAAACATTTATCCCATCATAAACTGATCAACCTGTATTTTTTTTTTTATTCTGGACTGCAGTCACTACTGTTCTTTCATTACAAAGAACTACAGTGAAAAATAAAACAAAACAAGATAATAAAATAGCTAGGTTTCTAACATTTCCCATAAGAAAACATTTATCCTATCATAAACTGATCAGCCTGTATTT